ACCAACGTCTGCAAGTATTATGCTAAATGTTTGCATTGTTTTCCTTTGTTCTTCCATTCCCTCTTGTTTTGCAGATGTTCCTGGAAAGAATCTTCATTATTTATATTGGACTGGAACTAAAGTTTATTATAATAGAAATCATAGATTTCGACGGGAAGTATCAGGTTTCACATGACTGTCATATGCCTTTAACCTCCCTGGCGGTATTGCCGAGTGTAGCGCGGGGTAAAATTTCAGTACCAAGAGTGTTAACCCCGAGCTACACTCGGGCTTACCATGCGGCGTTGCTCAGGGAGTCCCTGCAGCGCTTACTTTGTCCCCTGCCCCTGCAGCGTCCCCGGCCATCTCCTCCGGCCGATGCTGGCATCCGGCTTCTGGTCCCTGTGACGTCGGCGGAAAATTTGACATTTTTAAAAAAATGTCATTTTTTTAAAAAAATGATTATTATATAGTAAAACATTTCTGTTTCAATGCATTTCACATATATTTTGTCCCTACTGCTTTGTCCTGTGCCCTGCCTACATTTTGACTGCTCTTTCTGCTGGAAACTTAGAAAAGTCCATGGCGTTCAAAATGCATCCCTTTAGGTCAAAAGCGGTTTTAGACCAGCTAGAGAACAGCGATAGTAAATTAGAACCACTTGCAGAATTGAGTGATGATTTGTGGGGAAATTCGCCATCAGACACTGAAAACGATTTTGCGACTTTGCTCAGCGATGTGGGAATTTGCCTCTGTATTTCAAATTTCAGAGTTTTTGGTTTGATATTATTGAATTAAATTTATTATATTATTTTTTATGATTATTAATTAAATTATAATTTCGTGTTTCAAGTTTTATCATATCCGGAATGTTTACTAGACTCTTGTTCGGACAGATTTCAGTGAGTTATTCCTAAAAATTACAGCCTACAATTAAAAACTACATATTTCCATGCAAAAAAATGGTACCGCTTTCAGCACCAAAAATCGGAAATATTCATACCGCCAGGGAGGTTAAGCATTTTCTATATCTTGTCTCTGCCCCTCCCTTTCCTTTGGTTTAGTTAATGTTGTTTAGATAGCCCTCCCACTTTCCCAGGAATGCTTTGTTGCAAGCCTCATGGCATGGAGCAGAAACATTATGATCTTTTGACCTATCGAATGTTCATTGTTGTAAGATTCTCTCAGTTTATGGATTAAACTTCACAAGATGTCTTATTGAATGAGTCACTGACTGTGGTATCCAACTGAGGTTGAAGTTATCACTATCTCATCACAACTGTAAGTTACAGAGATCACACTATCAATGCTTAGATTGAAGAGACAGAACACGTGTTCAGGAATTTGAAAGATGGCGGCTCGTAAACTTTGTTTAGCAGCTTGACGTCATTGGCCCACTCTATGCGGTACATCACATCTCGTGACTTCCTCAGGAGTTCACGTGAGGAAGTCACGTGATGTAACTATGGCAAGCTTTTGTTTACATATGTAGAGGATATGTGGGATAAAGAGGAGACGGGACTGTTTGCAGCAGAGTGAAGAAAGTGGAGTCATCTACACAGTATACTTACCCGGGTTCAAAGGGAAAGGTGGTATTTGACCTATGCAATTTGGGTCATAAAAGGAGGTGACAGTATATATATATATATATATATATATATATATATATATATATATATATATATATATATATATATATATATATATATATATATATATATATATATATATATATGTCTCTGGAGGAGGAGCACCTATAGGAATATATGTGGATAGAAGCAATAAAGAGTACCTGTTTGGGAACAAATTATAAATGCACGGATCAAGCACACATTATGGACTTTTAAGCTGTATTCACCATTGTTGCATAATCACATGGTTTGGATGCTTAAATCATATATGAGGTTATAGAGATATATGCGTGGCACTATTTTCTGATATATGTGTGCTTGGAGTGTGCAGTGTGCCCAAGCCAACTGGGAGGACGACTGTTAGTAAACAAAGCAGCCCTCCTCCCTGTTGGTAAATCAGGGGTAATCACCGGCTGAGACACGGTGATTGGCAGCACGGGTAGGGCATGCGCCTTCTACCTGGAAATGCAAAATCACGTATATATATATATATATATATATATATATATATATATATATATATATATATATATATATATATATATATATATATATATATATATATATATATATATATATATATATATATATATATATATATATATATATACATACATACATACATACATACATACATACACACACACACACACACACACAAATGTGATTTTGCGCACCCGTGCCGCCCTGTAGCAGTATTTCTGCTATAGGGTGGTCGGAAGTGGATAAAGTAACACAGCGCAATATCGCAAACAATGGCCTGGTCAGGAAGGGGGGTAAATACTTTGGAGGGCAAGTGGTTAATTATACTTTGGGCTGCTTTCGCACTGCTCCGTTTCAAAACAGCAATAAAAATATATATGCATTTTTGCCGTGTTTGTACAACTTTTTTGGCTTTTTGGTTGCCTGACAACATGCAATGGTGAAACACAGACCTGTGTCCCAAAAATCCATCAAAAACACGTTTTTTCATTAGTGTTCAATGCATTTTATTGGGGAGGTGCTTTTTTGGTGCGATTTTAAACATGCACCAAAAATGCAGCAAGCAGGACTTTTAATATTACAGCTGCAATGCAACTAACCAGTGCGAAAAGTTCCATAGGATTTAAAAAGGGTTTCATTTTTCATGTTTTTTTTTTTTTCTTTTAAATTGAAAAAACTGGTCTAAAGCTGATCACTGTAAAAGGGCTCATTCAAAACATTAGCTCAGGATAAACCAGCAGCTCTGCACTTTATACAGTATATATATATATATATATTTTTTTTTTTTTTTTTAATTTTTTATCCAGAATACATAATTTTAACAGCCACACTGCAGATTTCCCTTGTGTTAATGGAAAAACCATTTCATGAGTAAACTTTAGAAAAGGCTGTGCGTGGGCTACTTCATGTAGTAGAGTCCCAGGATTTAGTTCCCGCCTACACTAGGTATATAAAATTATTTCCAAAACACAATCGTAGCACAAATGTCTGATAGCATAGTACATAGTAAATCCATTTAGCAAAAACTTTTGAAAAAATACTTTTAAAGTCAACTGAAATAGAATGCACCTCTGAGGTGGAAGAAACAACAGGTTACAGAAGCTTATGTGATTACGTTTTATAATAAATATCAATCACTTGAGTAAGAGCAGCTTTAAATTTATTCAGGATCCATAACTTAACATAACAAAAAAAACCACACAAACAGACTTATCTCAAATTCACAGAAAGTGCAGTGTATGGAGTACGTGTCAAAGCTCACACTGCTTATCACTACCACTCAGAGGGGAAATAGAAGCTTTCAACCCACACAACAGCAGCCAGCAAGGTTAAAAAACAGGTAAAAATGAAGAAATGCAGTGGGTAGAATATATATATATATATATATATATATTATATATATATATATATATATATATATATATATATATTTATATTATACACATACATACCAGCACTGTATGAAGAAGATTGCACCAAAGCAGTGTACCATTTAGGGGTTAGGCAGGAACACAAAAGTAATGAAGAAAAAAAATAATGAAAAAAAAAAAGAAAAGGGATACAAATATAAACACTCACCAGCCAAAAACATTTAGCTGCCAGGATATTGATTCAACAAAATTGTTTAAAGCTTTGTACATTAAATGCATAACAGTACTATGTAACAATTGTGGCCAGTAGCAATCAAAATATTTGCAGTATAGCAGTGCTTTTTGCCAGAGAATTGCATTTAGGAGTCTGGTCATTTTCACAGGCTATGCAAAAGCTGGCCATACAATTATCGAAACTCGGTCAACCCAGCAGGAGCCATCTAAATATCGATCAGTGTATGGGCTTTGCTGCACAACAGAATTGCTTGACTTCTGTCAAAGGGACATGTTGAAAAATGTTTTGCTGATTAGCGGCTGTGTATTCTAACCTTATTTATTAATTTTTTATAGACCACTAGCTGAATGAAAAAAAATTGTACATGGCCACTCTTCATTTAAAGCCCTTATGCACAGAAATGTGTTCCAGTTTTAAAAATGGAAAGTTTATAGGGTCACTGCTCCCAACACAGATACATTAGTTTTGGCTAGACACATGCACAATCAACTAAACTGCTAGTTTTTATACCACTATTGGCCACTAGCAACGTGATCTAAGTGCCTAAGTCCACAGCTCTATCAATCTTTTGCAGTCATGACAAACAGGGTTTTCATGCTCGCTGGATATGTATCGCTTTACATGATGAAGAATGTGGCAGAAGGAGGTGCAAGACTATACTAGGGAAAACAGCAGAACTGAGGATTTTAGTAGGAAGATCTCACCAATAAAATCCCTGAGAGACATTAGACACCAGCACGATTCAGTCTGTCATCACCCATCCAAAACTGAAACAGTTTTGAGTGAGTTGATCCTTTATTACAGAAAAAGCCTGCCACATCAACAAACAGCTTGTTACCTCTACCGCAATGTCATATAAAAAAAACAGAGTCCTGTTTATTTTTACATGGAAAAACTAGAATATTTATATATTTTGATAGAGACACAATCTCAGTAAGTGCATTAATGCTATCCTTCGCTTTCCAGTGCAAGTTTAAAATATTCAAAGTGTGCCACAGTTACCTGTGGATAAGTTCCTATGTTCCAACTGAACATGCACATAACTTAGAAAGCAATAATCCATTCAATTAGTAGGTCTCCACAATATCGTATATGAGAGACTGTGGTCATTTGAATGGAACAGAATAAAAAATATATATATTTTATTTCAAATAATTAAAGTACACACAATATTTTCTAAATGGTCTGGGGCATTCTTCAATCAATGATGGAAAGAAATGTCCTCTCACCAACAACTTCATTCAGCATGATCATTTCTAATTCCTAAACTTCTTGTGCATCCTCAGCAAAATTAGCCTTTTGTCAACTGGGCTTTTCAGCAGCTGACCCCCTTTCTAAGGCTTCTTGCTCCAAGAAAAAAGTTTTCCAGGTCCATCAGTTTCTGTATGAGAAGTGCATCCAGTTGCACACCTTCTGTGGCGGCTTTCCGCCCCCGTTTGCAGGTGGTCATGACTCTCACTTTGCCCTTTGCCCTCTTTGGCCTGGGCACTGTACAGTCTCTGAACTCCAGGATGCGTTTTCTCTTTGTCTGGGAGACGGACACTAAGACACCATTCTTTTCTTTGGGTTCTTCAAATATGGTTTCCAGGCTTCTGAAGGGAAACAGAAAGATGACAAGACATCAAAGAATGAACACAGTAAAAAAAAACCAAAAAAAAAAACCCCATAAGCGTAGAAGAGGATAAACATAACCACACTGTATACATTGTGAAAAAAGTCACTCATTCAGTTTCCAGCCACATCATCCTATAGCAGTGGTAGTAATGTAGGCCAAGCGGGTTGGTGTGGTGTTCCCTTGTCAATCACTAGGCTTCAGACCAACTGATAGATATAATCCTGCTCCTTGTAGGTGGAGTTGCCTAGTACAGCTTCCAAGTGAGCATCCTGAGCAGGGGCGGACTGACCATTTGGAAACTCGGGCACTGCCCAAGGGCCCGTGGTCAGTAGGGGGCCCCATGAGATGCCCCTGGTACCTTTTTCATAGGCTTTTTTGAGTTTGGGCAAGGACACAGGGGCCCCATGATCCCCTATTGCCTGGGGGCCCCATGAGTTCTCAGTCCATCCCTGATCCGGAGTAATATTTGTAAAAAATGCAAAGAATTCAGCCCATAAAGTGTAACATATATAGTACAGTATATCTCTGAAATACACACATTCCCCAATGTCTTCTTACTTTAAACGAGGTGCAAGTACACAAAAACATCTGTTAATCCTGCTGAAACCCAGGGAGCACTTAGCTTCATGTATCACGATAACAACGCTGCATATGCTGCACTGAAATCTCAAGCAGTATTGTCAGCCCCATCTATGTTGTACCTTGCTGAACTTACCCCTCAAGTGTTATAGAGCTGAGGAGACGAGGGGGTGTTTTGTAGTTGAACGTTTCCAGATTCAAAGCCAATACATCAATATTAAAAAGTGTGATTTTTTTTTTTTGATGAGTTAGAAAATGACCTGCAGGCACAGTAATTTTCTTGGACCCATAGGCAAAATGCACATAGCCATAGAAGTAACACCAAAAGAGAAAAAAGGTGCACACTACCTGTTATCCCCGAAATAAGCAAGAGAAACACACCTCCATACTCTACCTCTTATGGACACACAGAGAGACTCTGGATTGAGCGCGCTCGAATGCTCCTCTATAGCAAGGGGCTTGCTATGGGGAGGCACTCAGTAGTGAGGAAGAACCAGAAGTACCAGCAGGGGACTGCACGAGAGCACAGGCTGCTCTGTGCAAAACCATTACACAGAGCAGGTAAGTACGACATGCTTATTTAAAAAAAAACCCCAAAAAACAAACAAACAAACTTACCTAGCTGGTGGGGGAGATTTGTAGTTTTTGTTGGTATAAATATCCTCCAGACTGAATTCTTTCTTGTTTATTCTAAAATATAATGTAAGAAATTTCAGGTCAAGTCATGAAATGATTAGTTATCTCTAATGAAATACCAAAAGGGCAGTAAAAGCAGCACTGGTAGTGGATACAACAGACTGAGCAAGCCCAGATTTTTGTTTTGCATTTTAAAACTTAGCTAAATTCACTGATTACAAACCATACCTTCCCCCACAACCTCTGCAAATGTACCTACACTCTAAGAATCATCACCAGTGACCACTGCATGCCTACAACTCATATCTTTACGATCAACAAAATCAGTGTCAACAAGGCCCCATTTATGCCACATTTTATAACCGTAATCACTTTATGATTCTTGGGTGCCACCCAGTACTATCTAGACTAAATGTGCATTTTGTTAAACTCTGCAAAAGCCAAGGTGCACAGGTTCAGCTTTTTACAAAAGAGAGAGTGAAGCAAGGCTGTTTAAATGTAGAACGTTTTTTACCGTTTGGGTTTGGGTAGACCCATTGGCGTCAGATTTGGGTCGGGTTTTGGAATAGTTTTGCGAATTCGAATTTGAGAAACTCGCTGAGGCTTCCGTTCACCTTCTTCTTTCTAAAGAAAAAAAAAGTTAATTTTTTTTTTTAATAAAATGATAACTAGATCAATGCACGCACTGTATGCTGGTAGTGATATGCAAACATTTAAATAACACCACATTATGGTTATTTCAAAAGGTTGTTATAGAAACAGAAAAAAAAAAAAAATAAGTATCAAGAAGTTGGGAGAACAGACGTAAATGTGGGTGAGGACAAAGATGTAAGGGGGAAAAAAAAAAAAAAATACATTGCCCAACTCCCCCCACACTGCAAGGGTTAAAAGCTTGGTAGGTATGGGTGGCTGCTCTGTGCAGCTCTAGCATGCTTCGCTTCTCTCTACAGCATCATCACATACAATGCAGGGCTATTAACCTTGTCTTGTATGTGGAGGAGGAGGAAGGAGTGCAAACTGCAGCTGGGAGCACTTTAAAAACACAGCTCATACCAGGACAAGGAGCGGGAAACCAGTGTTCTGTGCGAGTTTCCTGCATCGCATTTAAAACTCACAGCAGTTGCAATCTGCAGGTGTCAATATTAAATTAATGACAACCCAAATGCAAGTTGCAAACGCAGTGCGTTTGTCGGCACCAAATCACATGGTAGATGAAGTATCATGCGATCCCGTTGAAGCGAGATTAAAAAAACGAATGCATGTACTACTTTTTGGTGCAGTGGGATGTGATTTCAGCCTATTCACTTTGAAATGATGCGATCCGAATCTTGCGATCCGGTTGCGAGTTTAAAAAACTAATGCATGCACTACTTTTTGGTGCAGTGGGATGTGATTTCAGCCTATTCATTTTGAAATTGCACTGCACAGAACTGCATGTGAATTGTACAGGAATGCGCAGCACGTTCCTCTGCAATTCCCGGTGTGAACTGGCCCCAAAGAGGAAGATTTGCAGGACTCGTTGCACGGCTAGAGGGAAGCAAAGAATAAAAAAGGTAAGTATTCCTCTGGAATAAGGAGTTGGGCTTTAAGTAGAACTATGCCATGCCAATTAAAAAAAAAATTTTTTTATAGATTCCTGGAAGCTCAGATTTAAACTTAACTCCTAACTAAGTGTTCAGGAAAATGTTGAAACTGCTAATGGAAGGCGGTATCAAGTATGCATGCCATGATACCAAAAAAGTACTAAATGAATCGAAACATCTCACATTTGCATAGTACTATGTATACTATATAACTATAGGAAGGGTCTTAACACTTCAATTTGAACCCTTTTGCTTCCAAGTCAGTACATCGTAATGACCTGACAGTGGGGGGGGGGGGGGTTTTACACACTCCCAGCAACCACTAGAGGTGTGTGTATATCCAAGAAGCCGACTTTCTGAAAAGCAGACTCCTGCCTGTCAGATGGAAGCATTCTGGCATCTGCTCTGCCGCTTGATTGCTTCCCCACACCCCCGGCAATGGCTCCTATCATGTATCCCAGGCTCCACTTGCGCATATGCGGTCCCGGAACCAGCATCCCCTTCTTGTTGCAGACCAGAAAGGGATGTGTAAAACATCTCTTCTGGGTCCCCCTGCCAGTTTCCCCGGTCAGTGTGGAATGAATGAATGTAAAGCACTCCGATCTGCACTGCATTACATTTAGTGGAGCACAGGGGAGAAATCAGGGGTTGAAAAAGTCTCACAAAAAGAACCTGTCACCAAAAAACCACCACATAGGGACTTTTTCCTCTATATAAAATGGAAATAGGTAAAAATAATATGTTCTAAATTGCAAAATATTAAAGTTATACTCAAGCACATAAAATTCCCTCCTGAAAAAAAATTTGAGGCCCCTCCAACCCCCATATATATAGGCACATGCAAATTTAAATGCACACGGCAGGAGCGCCTACGCATGAAAATGTTGCTTGCAATACACATGGTCGCATATTGCCGCGCACAGGGTTAAATGTCATTTTTTTTGGTGGGCAAAAAGAGACTAATCAGAAATTTGGTACAATTACTCTGGACCAGATTATTAATTAGGCGAAAAAAATTAAACCCCACTAAAGCTCAGAAAACAGTACAAATGTGCATACAAAAAACAACTTGTGAACAGTCCTATGTGCTTTATAAATCAGCTCTAGCCCACCAAATCAGCCTGTCTCCTGCTAGTAGTCTTCAGCTATGAGCCACTGCACTCTGTGTGGAAGCAGTGGTCTGACAAGCCCTCTGCAAAAATCAGACTTTAACCTCTGCAATCAGCAGAGATCACGAGTGTAGTTGATTTCAGGAAATCAATCTTCGAAACATTTTGGTATGAATAGTAGAGTACCCTTTCCTCACTACAATTCATACCTGTTTTTACTAACATTTGAATGTTTTTAATGATGGTTTTTAATGACTATCATGTGGAATGAGCAGTGACTGTCATATGAATCCTAGCAATGATTAAAAAGGAGAAGTACAGCTCTTTTGGCTGTAGTTCTCCTGGGAATCAATAGCACAGTTCGTTCTGCACTCCTGTGACTAGTTTTCAGCTGACAGTGGGCTGAAGTCCACTGTCAGCTGATGTCACTCAGCCGGTCCAGGCTGGGGAAAGATCCCAACTTCAATGTCAGGATCCACCCCAGAGTCTGGAGCGGTACCTGGCTGAGCCTCTCAGTGAAGCGCTGAGAGCCTGAGCCAGCTGCACCCTCCCTTCCACAGCCCAGTGCTCCAGTGAGAGCAGGGATGCAGAGCAGACAGTGGTAATTGACAGTCCTACTCTCTGCTCAGAGCAGAGAGAACTCAGCGATCATGTGATTGCAGAGTTCTCACCCTTAGCTCCGATGGGGGACAGCTGAAGCATAGGAACGATGCTGCATCCACCTAGATAAGTATAATTTGGGGTGGGGGGAGCCCTACTTCTCTTAAAATGGAGCTATAGGTAAAAGTCTCCTGAAAATCTGAGGGGGGGGGGGGGGTAGTTTTACCTATAGCTCTGTCTTAAGAGAAGTAGGGCTCCACCCCCTCATTTTCAAGAAAGGGTTATAACCCATCAGTTTTTGTCATCTGCGTGCTTTTGGTGACATTTACCTTCACTTTCTGTCCCATAGCCAAAACAGGAAGGGAGAGGAAATCCCTGCAAAGTAAGGGAATCCATTGGAGCCACCAGGTCAGCAGAACTGGTGCCCTAATTGGAAGGTTTCCCCTCTATTAGGGCTCGTTCACACTTGAATGTTTTTCCAACTCTTGCCAAACGCCCCTATAGCGTTTGCCAAGCGTTGGTCCAGCGTTTGCGGAGCGTTAACGCTCCACATGCACGGTTTAGCGGCGGTTGCTAGGCGTTTGCCAAGCGTTAAAAACTCCCCACAAACACCTATAATGAAGTTTGAATGGTGTTAACACTCTGCAAATGCCCTGCAACCGCAAACGGTGGCCGGAGGGGCTGCACTGCAAACACCCGTAGACTTGAATAGGAGGCTTCAACTCCTCCTGACTCGACCAGAGGCGTCCATTCTGCCACGACGCTAATGCTCCCTTGTGAACAGCACCATGTGCTTCAATGTGCAGAATTTTCACAGGCGTTTGGGAAACCGCTTCCCAAACGCCTGTCTGCCGCTTGCAAACAAGGCTAGTGTGAACGTAGCCGTACTGTTCTGGGGACAATCCCCAATTTTGGATTTTTTTTTCCTTCAATTTGAGGATACTGCTAAAAACAGGACAAATATAGAGTGAAAGCAATAACAGAGCTAGCAATATAATCCTGAAAGGTGTTCTAATCCACTCTGTCCAACAGTGTAACAAAAAAAAAAAAAAAAAAAAAAAAAAAAAAAAAAAAAAGGGAAGAAGGAAGAATTCCCTAAAGACAGAAGATGCAGGAAAAGGAAATGCAAAGTATGATTTCTTCAAAATCAGTGCATTTGTAGTGATTTCCACCAATATTTCCTGGGAACTACTGTATTGTAACTTTGCTGGATAGGGAAAAAAAAAAAAAAAAAAAAAAAAAAAAAAATGGAGGTAGCATTAAAGAATTTAATATCAAGAAAGCTTTAGGCCACCAGTGAATATGTAACCCAATCAGGTAAAGATAGGAGACTAAAAAAAGAATGAGAAAATAGAGAAGGGGCTCTAGAAAGTAAATATAAAAACTTATACATGACCTTTATTCTGTTGTCTTTGACCCTGTTTGGGAGATTCTGCCTCACTTCCCACCTACAACACCAATTCTAAAACAGTTGGGACGAAGTGTAACTTCCACATAAAAACAGAATGCAGTGACTTGCAAATCTCTTAAACCCATCTTTTATTCACAGTAGAAAAAACAAAAAAAACGGAACACATATCAAATGCTTAAACTGAGAAAAATGTACCTTTTCAAAAGAGAAAAAAAAAAAAAAAAAAAAAAAAAAAAAAAAAAAAGGGACAGGGCCATGTATACCACAGTATAGAATCCCATCTCCTTTTAACAACACTCCGTAAACATCTGGGAACCAGTTGCTGGAGTTTTGGGAGATTAAATGTTGTCCTATTCCTGCCTGAGCATATGCTGCTTTAAAACCTGGAAATATTTTTTAGGATTGATGGTGTCCATTCAATACACACTAATGCACCCCAATACAATTTGAGATGCAGGCTTTTGAACTGAGCACTGATAGCAAGTTGGAAGGTCCCTCACCTCTTTAGTCTCGAGGATGCGGAGCTCATTATTACCAAAAGAATGTCAAATGTTTGCAACAGACCATTTTAAATGAGCTTTGGCCCAGGAAAGACAGCAGCATTTCTGGATCATGTTTGGACATGGCTTCTTTGCATGATGGAGATTTACCTTGCATTTTTGGATGCAATGGCATGGCAGAGCAAACTGTTCAGAGACAGTGATTCTTGGAAGTATTCCTGATCCCATGCAGCGATGTCCAGCACAGAATCATGCCTGTTTTTAATGTAGTGCCATCTGAGGGCCTGAAAATCACGAGCCATCAATATTGCATTTTGGCCTTGTCCTTTGCACACAGATTTCTCCAGATTCTCTGAATTTTTTGATACTTTATACTGTAGATGTTGATAAATTGCAAAGAAATCATCATCTTTAGAAGACTTTTTTAACATAATTCTGAAATTGTGTGGCAATTTTTAGATGCAGCTCATCACAGATTGGTGAACCTCTGCGCACCTTAAAGCTGGCCATATACGTGTAGATTTTCAGACAAGAATATTCTTAAGAAAAGTTGTAAGGAAATTCTTTGGCAATTCGATGAATGAATGTAATTCGAAAACGGTCTTTTGCATTTAACATTTGACTTTAACCGCCTCCACCCGCCATATAAGGAAATGACAGACAAGCAGTGGTTCTCTTGTTCTGGGAGGACGTCATATAACGTCCTCCTACTCTAACCGCGTGTGCGTGCCCTCGGGGGCGCGCAGCATGGTGATTGGTGGTGCGCTGTGTCTCCAGGACACAGCGGATTACCGATCAGCAGAAAGTCGATGACTTCGACTGTCATGTGATCAGCTGTGTCCAATCACAGCCGATCGCATGTAAGGAAATAACGGTTATCGGCACGCTGACAGCTCGTGAGGAGAGGAGAGCCGATAATTGGCATTCCTCAGAGGGGACATCTACATTGATCATCAGGGCACTGATGATCAGTGTAGCCCCATCAGTACCACCTGTCAGTGCACATCAATTTCATATGGGTACAGCGTTGTATGACTGCGCAATTGTCAAAGTCTAGGCAGAAAGGGGGTGAAAGTGCCGGTAGCCAAGTGGTTAAAATAAATGTAATTTCTGAACGATAACCACATACACTGGTCGAAAATTAATTTGATAAGAAAGGTTTTTTTCTTCCTACTCATTAAAATTTTCCCATCACTGCTGTCGAAAACGAACATCGATTTGACCCCACTAACGATCAGAAAATCAAATAAACATTCTTAAAATGAAAATCTATATGTGTATGGCCAGCTTTACTTCTGAGACACTCTGACTCTCCAAGATGCCATTTTTTATACTCAAGCAGGTTACTGACCTGTTGTCAATTAACCTAATTAATAGCAAAAGGTTCTTCCAGCTCTTCCTTGTTAGTGCCATCTACTTTGCCAGCTTTTTGTAGCCCTGTCCAGACTTTGAGATGTGGAGCTGCTGTCAATTTCAATATTTCCCCCCCCCCCCTCCCCCTTAAAATTGTACATTTTCTCAGTTTAAATGATTTGGCATGTTTTCTGCTGTGAATGGGTTTAGAATATTTCCAAATTATTGCATTCTGTTTATATGAAGATTTTACACAGCATCTCAATTTTTTTGATATTAGGGTTGTATTTGGGGAGCATCAGACAGTAAAGAAGTGAGAGGAAGTCCCTTGAACACGTATCACAAAGTATACTTGTTAAAGTTGGCTGACCATGAATTGAAATTTGTCCTGTTAAACAGGGAATGGCTAAATTTTAATCCGTGTATGGCTGTTTCAGTTCATAAGAAGTCAATCTAAGGATTAACTTCTCACGAACAGGACTGCTGGAAAATTTCAGTTTGATCAGCACTGCAGCCAATAGCCTGTGGCGCTGATCAGTGTATTCGGACAGCGGGGAGGAGGGGGGAGTCTCCTCACTATCAGAATAGATGGCGGGGAGGATTCCTGTATGCTCATTGAATACATGGATAGGGGCATTGGGTCAGTTTTTTATTGCTGTCTGTGTCCCCAACAGGGAACAGATTTCTTTTACTTTCTACTACAGGTGACGAGTGCCAGAAAAAGACACTATTTTTTTGCTTTGGGAACCTGTAAAGCATTGCACCAGTGATTAGCAGATCACAGTGCCATGCAGGACTCCTGCAGACCTGTCAGTGTACGGGCAAGGAGATACACAATGACAAGAGGAACAACGATATGGTAGTTCATTAAGAAGTACAAGTCAATAGCAGCAAAGGCTGTTGGAAGTTGTAGTTTTCCCATTCACAGAATACTGTGAATGAGTGATGCGGCCCGGTTGGAGAAGATTCCCTGCCAGCTGTCACAACGGGTGATTGAGGGGGAGCAGGGGCTAGTCCTTTAGTAACATGTTACACCGGGAATATGGCTGCTGTTGGGCCATCAACCAGAACAAACTAGAAACAAATAATGTCTGTCTATATGAAAGCCTAGGGTTTTAACATCTAATCAATATCATAAGCAGACTTTTCTCCATTGTTTTATCCTTACCTCATTTTCCTGGTTTTGATTCTCAGTTTTTGCATGAGGAATAGGCAGACCTTCTCTTTGTTCAAAAGGACGAGTGTGAGCCTTGGATGGTATCAGAATGCATGGAGGTTCAAGACTGTCTTGTAGAATGGACAAGTTGCAAGCTACAAATTTACATTCTTTCTGAGCAGATACAGGGAGTGGAGCCCCAAGACAATCACCTTGTTGAGGAGACAAAAAACATGAAGTTTTCAGGCCATCGCCTTGCTCATGGGACAAAACCTCTGAATGTCTATGATCCACCATTTGTTGTGTGGTCAAACAGTGAGCAAATTGAGGAACATCCTGTTGAGCAATCAAATATTGCAAAGGCTTGATATCAATATCTTGCTTGTTAGAATTGTACAGAGGATCTAGACCGCTGTCATGTTCAATGGACTCCCCACATGAATATCCAAGACCATCACCTTGCTCAGTAGACCAACTGCATGAAGGTCCAAGACCATGGTCTTGTTCAGTGGACAGCTGACAAGGAGGTCCACAAGCATTACTTTGGTCAAAAGGCAAAAAGTTGGTTGGTCCAAGTGCATCTTCTTGAACAGATAAACACGAAGAAGGCCCAATATCTTTGTCTTGTTCAGTGGATACAAAATGTAGAGAATCAAGAGAAAAAAGATTGTTGGCATGCTCATTGGACAGAAAGTATGGAGGCTTAAGGACATCATCCTGCTTAATAGACAGACAGTGCAGATGGCCAAGATCATTGGTTTGCTCAGTGGACAAATACAGAGGTGGTTCAACACCCCGGTTTTGCTCGGTAGACAGGCAGAGGAGATTTGCTTGTCGATGAAAAGGCAAACAGTGTAGAGACCTGTCATCTTTGCCTTGCTTGTTGAACAAACTGCATGAAGGCTCAAGACTACCACCTCCCTCCAAGAATAAACTGCTTGCATGGTTAGATAAAGCAGATATACACTGTGAAGGCCTAAAATATTTTTCTTGCCACGAAGACACATTAAACTGAAGCCTTGGTTCATTTGCTCTGATACTGTTCTTTGGTTTCAAATCAGTAGACTGTTTCAGGACTGGTACACTGTAAAATAATAAATACAGATGAATGGTGCATCATATTTGTCATACAGCTGTAAAAAACAAAACACACTTGGTGGAATCACATTTGGTACCATTCAGAGGCAGCTGAGGAACATCACAAAAATAGATTTAAGGCAGCCATAGATGAATTGAATCTCGGCCGGTTCAGCAGGTACTGGCCGAGATTTGATCCATTTATGGCAGGCTGTTGTACCACAGTCAATTCAAGTAGCCTGTCAAATTTTTTTACATGCGATTACTGCTGGCGGATATAGTCACTAGCAGTAATCGTGATCTGCTGGCTGGGAAGGCCAATCAACACTGATTGTGCTGATGGGGGAATCGAGTAATTTTCTTTCCTTTCACTCATGGCGGACGGAAAGAAAATCGAATATATGGCTTGCCTTAAGTTACCTGGTAACTCAATTTCTAGGAATCTTCCAGGACTCCATTGAGAGATAGCTCCACTTATAAAGCAGAACAGCTTACCCTTGTGCATTAGTAATGTAAAAAGTACTGAAGGGACAACAGATTTTAAAACATACAAGGGAGAGGAATTAGGTTGGTGGGGGGGGGGAAATACACATGCCTGTATGACTATTCACTGATCTGCAAAAGCATCCAAGGCCTAAACTGCTGCCATTCCCCTCAAAAATAGCGGAAAAAAAAATTATTTAGTTTGAGGTTGGGGCAAAGAAGTCCACATTGGGAAACCCCCTCCTCCATTTCTCAATTAGCAACTCAAATGTCTACCGGTTTGGAGACCACTCGGACGTCTGTTCTCTGCTCAAGAAATTAGCAAGTGAATTTGGTTTTCCCTTTAGTTAGACTGCAGAAAGAGATGATAGGTTTGATTCTACCCACTGTAAGATGTCTGTCAGGTACAGCAACTGGTGTGATCTTGTACCCTCTTGCTTGTGGATGCAAGTGATGGTTGCAATATTGTCTGAGAAAATCTGCCTCTGACTTGTGCACCAAAATAATGTAAAGCTTGTTCAACTGCTTTTAGTACACTTATGTTTGAGGACTTTGCTGACCAAGACCTGTTTCATGCTCAATGCCAGTTCTTCCTCTAGGTGTGCTACCTATCTTCATGAGCGTACATCTGTTATGATGGCATCTAGTTGGAACGACAGGTATACTGCGATCAAAGTGTTCCCGTTCAGCCACCACAAAAGAGAGTTTTTGATCTGAAGGGGGGACGAGAGCGGTTTCTCCCAATGTAGATGGGTCCCTATTCCATCTACATTGGGAGAAAGGAGGATGTTTTGTAGGGGCCTTGAGTGTAACTGTGCCCACAACACTGTTGGGACTGGTGTTATCAGACCTAAGAATTTTATGATCTTTCTGGAAAAAATTTTTGGGATCAAATAGAAATTTTTAACTTTCTTGATCAGTTTATTCACACTCTCTGGCGAGGAATATTTTTTCCTGAGTGGAGACTATCATATATTCCAAATACCTTACATTTTTGGCTGGTGCTAACTGAAATTTCTTTGTCGATCAGCCATCCCAAATCTTCTACATGTTTTTTCCCCCAAGCTGCATGTTCTCTTGCAGACTTTTTTTTTTGGATTCTGTGAAACAAAATAGGCAATTGTCCAAGTAAGGTATTACCCCAATACTATGGAGTCTTAATCCCTACAGAGCTTCCACTAGAACGAATTTGAAAATATGCTTGGAACTGAGGATAAATTTTGCCGTGTACTGGAGATGTATCCTTTTGAGGTCCTTTCATCTCAACGCTCAAGAACTGTTGGAAACCAATTCTGATGGGAATGTGCAGACACACATCTTTGAAGTACACTGCTGCCATAAAAATTCATAGGTAACAGCAGATCCCTGAGAGACTAACTTGATTCCATACAAATTTTTTTCTTCTGTAATTTACCACCTTGTTTAGTGGTTTAAGGTCAGAACTCGCCTGGAGGGCTTTGTCCTCAAAAAACAGTGGGAGTATAAACCTCTTTTCCCCTCTTCAGTGGGAACAAAACAAACAACCTTTTTGGCCAAGGGCTCTTCTAGGCTAGAGATCATACCTGCTGCTTTCATCTTCTCTCTTGACAGTTGAGTGGCCATAAATCCTCTGGGGGAAGTAAAAGAAAATTCCATCCTGTGAACTGACAGAATAATGTTCAAAATGAACTGATTTTCTGTCAGTTCCTGCCACTGTGAGAAGAAAAGCAACCAGTCTCCCCCCTCTCTTGGGGCTTCAGTAATTGACCTTTGGGGGTGGCTGAAAAAAAAAAAAAAAAAAAAAAAAAAAAAAAAAAAAAAAAATCCACCTTTACCCTTCCCTTGGTTAGAAGACAATCTCTTTTTGGTCCTACTACCAGGCATGATGGTAGTAGGAGGGGTTATTGTGGGCTGGCCTATAATTTGTTTGCCAGTGCAAATCCTCCTGTAGGTGGCAGTATAACAGGACAGTTAATGACTTCTTGTGTCCCTCAATGACTGAGAAAGAAATAACAGTGTAGACAAAAAAAATGCAGTGCTCATACAGATTTTCCATTCTATTACAAAGTATTTAAATTAGCTTGTATAAAATCATCTAACACATCTTTTAACACTGCAAACAGCTATAAGGATTCAATATTTGCTTTCAATTAAATCACTTCAAATAGAGCTTTATAATATCAGTTCTACATGCCTGGTGAGCCAATCCTAGCATAATTATCAAGACAGAGATTCAAACTTGGATTGTTTCCAGGGAGCCCAGGGATGTCTGCATTCGACCCTTGCTGCACACCATGTACAAAAACATACAGGTAATTATTGTGTACTGTTGACATGTCAGCAATTGTGGACACTTAGATGTGTATACAGCTTATTTACAGGGATGCTGTCAACAAAGCGTCACTTAAAAACTGAACACACCCTGTGAAATGATGAGCTTATATACCCTCACCCAGTTTGTTCCAATTCTGGTCACCTTTTCTAATTTCCATACCTGGAAGACACTCTCCCCCCCCCCCCCCACATTCTCCGAGCCCACCATTTCATCCCCAGTATCCCTTTTTTGCACCTTATCAACACATAGTCAAACTCTATTGTTTGCAAGTATACACTTCATTTAAAAGTCCACCTCTAGGAAAATGTAAATTAACCCATAGCAGTGGGGCTGTGCCCACATTGCTAGGGGCGGTTGATTGCTTGTTTTGGTTGGGGGGGGGGAGGAAAAGCCCTTTTTACCTGATCCTCCACTTCCGACAGGAGGCGCTACCCAATGCTCTAGTGGTGGACGATCCCTTGGGTCCTAGATCACTAGACACCCTAGACCTAAACAAGCAATTAACCCTTGCAGGGTACATCCCTGCTGCAAGGAATCTTTTTTAGTTGCCCAGAGATGCTAAACTAAATGCTGATGAGAATATCCACAAAGCAGACTTCTGTATGATAGTCCACTTTGTATTTGAACTGACCAACCAAACCTATAGTTGAAAAACACCACCACACTTCAGCAATCATTTGATTCACAAAATAAAAAAAACAAACAAAAAAAAAAAAAAAAAACCACACAAACACTTTAGATATTCTATTTGTGTAAAATACTGTGATAGTTACCTGATGCTGAGGCTCTGACTTGGCTGCCATGAACTGCAGGGGAGGGTGTGGCGTGGCAAAATCAGAGGAGAAAGCCGATAATCCATGTCGACTCCACATAGACATCACGCGGCCAAGTGAAAAGGCCAGAGAAGATGAGAATTCTCTTTTCCAGGAAAACTGTGGTGGCAATCCCTTTAGCCCATGTGCAAACTGAGTCACAGAAAGTTTTTGGACGGTGGGGATTCTACTCCCCAGATTTCTTTTCCTGGTCCACAATCTATAACAGCCAGGAGATGAAAGTGCAAGTACTGTATGAAGTCCAAGCACTGAGCATCCAGACTTTCTTTCAGATTTACCTTTGCAACTGGAGTCAGATTTAGAATTGCCTAAACATCTGAAATGTGGATTCCAGTGAGTGAAGAGCTGAATGCTGTCATTGGTAGCAGGGAAGTGTGGGGAGAGATAAAAGGATAAAGTCCACTCAGAAAGCTGTGCTGATTGGGTTACAGGTAGTACATTTTTAAACATATAATCAGGGGGATTAAATTTAATAAAGTCTGATAAATAGCTTGGATCTATTTTCATTTGAAAAGATACAGGGAATGTGGTGTTGTCCAAGGAAAAAACTGCTAGCAAGAACTTCAGGGTAAGCCTTCGAAAGATGAGCAGGAAAAATATCCATACACTGTGAAAGAAGATGGTCACGGCCTGATGAAAAGCCCACATTTCCTGCCGTCTGGGAGCTTATTTTCATATTGACACAGGAAAAAACATTCAGCAATTTTCTAGCTTGAAGCTGAACACCTCTAAAGGGAACGAGTTTTGCAGTGTTTGATAAAGGTGTCAACTTGGAGGAACTCTTACATGGTGCAGTCAGTCTAGAGGCAATTGCTGATAGTTGGTGTAGCAATGTTTGCTCCGCAGTGCACTTGTTTAAAGTAACTACATCCCTCTTAATCATATCTGCATAAAGTGTATTAGAAGTCATTTTTGGAACTGCATGTTTTGATGGTAGAAGTCTATGGTTAGGGATATGGCAGGTATGTGCATGGAAAGCTTTAGAAAGTTTGAAGACCTGCATGTTGGAATTTGGGACATTGTATTCCGGCATGAAACTGCTCTTGCACTTTCTGCTTGGCTGCCTTCTCAGAGATATGTCACTGGTCATATACATATTTCTGGGGAGGTCTGAGGCTTTCTGAATTTTACAAATGCTTAGTGAATGAGGATGTAGTCTGAGAGTTTTATGGGAAGCGGTATCCATAGAACCCTGCAAATCTGAACTGGAAGGCTGACCAAAATTTTCATGACTAGTCTTTGGTCTTTTTGCTCCTTGTATTGTGCAAGTAAGGCTTTGAGGTTCAAGTTTCAAAGTACAATTTTCAATACTTTTGTCTGCTCTAACAACTTTCATTTCCATTTGACAACACGTAGGCTGTCTAAGGCAGTCTTTTGGTAACTGCTGATTATCTTGTAATGGCAGTGGTTTCTTACTAATGTTGGTAGGTAGAGTTTTCTTAGTCTCAATACATATCCTTTTCCGTTTAAGTGTTCCAACTGCCATTTCAGGAGGAGATCCTTTACCAGACTGACCTTTAAATAATTTAAATGGAGATCTATGCTCATCAATGAGGATGGAATGAATCTTCATTATTGGATGTTTTGGTGAGCAGAAAGAGGGCTGAGCAGGTTTTAATATATTCAAGCATTCAAAAGACCTTTTGTAATTAATATTGTTCCTAGATCTAGTTATCATATGTTTTAGCGGAACAACATGTTTATTTCTCAGAGTATGCACTATTTCAGAGTTAGTCAATGAAGAGGCTAATATACCAGCTGGTAAGACCGTACTTTTCACTATAGGACTACTAGACAAAAGAGGATGTGTCAGAATTTCCATTTTTTGCAAACAAGAATCATTCACCTGTGCATAGCATTTTGATTTCTTTGCACTTCTGATTTTACCTACTGGAGAACAAGCAGAGAGAACCTTTGCATTTACAGCTTCTGTACGAGAAAAGGAAATCCATTTGGTCTGGCTGATGAGGGGATCAACACAAAGTATTGAATTTGATTTTTCCACCCTGTGGCTGCAGGCAAAATGACCATGCAGCTGGCTTTTGGGGAGCTTAAACGTATTATCTGGGCATTTCAGAATGAGTGTTTTTACAGAAACCAGCTGACCAGAAGAATGCCCAAATAAGGCATGTTTCGTATCTTCCCAACCTGGCAAACTATCGGGAACACTACAGTCCTTAGCATACAGCAAACTTTTTCTGCCACAACTTAAATGGTTTCTTAACTCAAGTGCCTGGGATTTTGCCTTTTTGAGGATCATATGGTTAGTACTATTAAAAGATAAAACATCAGGCACCACGGCCTTTGCTAAAAAGCTCCAAATATCCACATAAGGTACAAGGGCATTTTGCATGGTGGTCTCTAAATGACAAGTCTTATCAGCTACTGATAGACATTCTGTAGGTAATGTTCGACAATTAACTTCTTTTAAATGATCTGAGTTTAAGATGGTTTTGTTAACTGCTAACGATTTAGATGACTGGCTGTGACTGGAAATCACATAGCTATCAAGTTTAGCAAATTTATTAGGATTCTCAGAGCCTGGTACCTCAGATACTATGTTATCTTCAGCCTGCTGCCTGGCACTTTTGTCTTTTTTTGTTCTCATCTCAGAATCAATGTTTATGATATTGCAGGGTGTGATTGTGTCACACTGAAGATTGGGTACATTGTTGTGATGTTCTGAAATTTGTGTAGTGCTGCAGGCGACAGGCAACTGGGCTCCATTTAAAATATGTGGAAGCGGAGTGTCCTGTGAGATGGTACAATGCATCTCTGTTTCCGCCACCTGAAAGAATTGATCTTTTATTTCCTGTTCTTGTCCTGTTGCTTCAGAACCTTTGAAATGAACAGCGGTTTCATCTGCCAAGTTAATTGTAGTGTTTTTCCAAGAAAATTCCCCAAATGTACTTTTTGCAGGAACCAAACGAATGGAACTAGAATGAGAAGATTCATCTAATTTGTACCCCAGGTTATTGGCACAGCTGAGATCTTCATGACAATCTGCAGAAATACTTCGCAGATGGACATGTTCCCTTATGTTGGAACAAAAAGAACATTCTTGTGTATTACAGGATTTGGCACTCAACCTGTCAATGGAAGATGAAAGATCTGGTTGCGTGGTCACAACCTCCTCGTCAAAGGAATACATTTTCCAGAGTCTGAGAGCAAAGTATCATCTCTGATATTCTGTGAATGAACATTCTCCAAACCAGTCTCTACTTTTCCCACCAAGTGTATAGTTGAAAGATGTGTACAAAGACAGTCCTTTCTATGCTCGCCTTCTGTACAAGAAGTCATATCTAGTGATTGCTGAACACAAATGTCCTTTGACTGTGTCACATCCTGCACAGCATGCTCCAAACAATTTTGTTTAGGTCTTGTACCATTGTTAGTCATACTTTCATCTGTGTTTGTAGAAAGTAGAGATGCACTGTTGATTTCCCCCAAAACAGGGCACTTGGATTCTTTGCAAATAAAAGCTTTTTTGCACAAGACAGGGCCCTCTTGGGTGTCACACATATCTTGGTTTCTTTTAGTCATATTATGACATGTACAAGAATAAAGTGGCACTTTTTGATCTTCAAGGCACGTACAGGAACCTCCATCTCTTAGACCACTGGATAGGCATGGGTGTTCTGAGGACATTACCACAGTACATTCTTCATGTCCATCAGGATGCTGTTCAGATGAGTTCTGGAGCTCTGTTACCATGAAACTGCAAATTTCTCTGAGATTCCCTGAAGAATCAAATGCTTGTACATTTGGGGGTTTATTCCTCTCCGACTGAAGATTATGCAGTTTTGCATTCTGCTCGGAATGTAATTCGGTCTCAGTGCTTGTGTCTTTCACACATGCAGCTTTATCAGGTTGACTCAGAGTTTGGTTATCTGAAAGAGAAAAAAGTAAAATTACAAGCTGACTACAGAGTTTCACCCAGGTAAGCAACTTCAGCTTCCCGTACATGCAGTGGCAAAATGCCATATTTGCCTCGGTGCAAAACTCTGGCAACATAACGTCTGTAGTAAACTACAACAAATCTATTGTGTGAATTGTGCATTTTACTGAAATGACTGAACTGTGTCTATCCAATCCTAAAACTAGCAGCTTGTCACTCTTCCTCATCTTATCTTTTGTAGGGCCTGACTTCACATTGAAAACAGGTAGTAGCTTGGTACGCATAGACACAAACGCCTATTCATCTTTTTACAATTGATCTCTCCACTAGGGCTTCTACAGGCTAATGGACTTGAAGCCTGTGACTATGCCACAATGTAATAAAAATGTCATACATTAAGTGACAACACTTGTCTTAGAACTGTGTCAGCTAGCTGGTGGGCAAGAGACTCACTTCACTTGGCACATGTGCTGGGGATTCATCAGCTGTTAGTTGTTTCTAGACACCCTGAACTTTTCTCTCACAATTTGTATTTACAGTACCTGTTCTAAAGCTGGCTGCATGGAACAGAATTTAGCAACAATATAGTCAACCATTTGTTCTAGGGCCTGCTATATACAAACACACACATCTTCAGTACTCCTCTTCAGTTATCCAAGGATGAACTTTCTTGAATTCCCTCCCATATTTTTTTGCACAAAATAAATTATTAAAAGCACAAGGTTCTCTTAGCACAGCAAAGCTGTAATAAAAACTTCAATAATCCATCATGTACAAATTAAGTTACTGTTTTTTTTCTTTAAAGGCTTATATAATTTAAAACACCGAAATTTAATACGAACACCAAATCAGGTTCAGAGAAATTAAAGTGCAAGTTCGCCTTTACAGAAAAAAAAATGAAAAGCTGAACATTGTACATGCTCCCCAGCCCCTTGGTCCCTTCTGTACTTACCACTTACCTCTGTGGGTGACGAGCTGTCAGTGCCCAAACAGCCAGTGTAGCAGTTTAGGCATTTGAAATACCTGCTTCCAGGATGGACCAGAACGATACTCTGTGCCGGTGCTGACCAATCAGAATTTTTTCATTTCATCCCAGAAGCTGCTCAGAAAGATGAGGAAGAGCAGGTATTTCAAATCCCTGGCTGTGTGGGCACTGACAGCTCATCACCCATGGAGGTAATTACATCAGGTACCAAAGGGAGTGGGGAGTGTTACATAGTTAGTCTGGCTGAAAAAAAAGACAAACGTCCATCCAGTTCAACCACAAAAAAAAAAAAAAAAAAAGTTATAATTCTATATCCACAGTTGATCCAGAGGAAGGCAAAAAAACCCCAGCAAAGCATGATCCAATTTGCTCCTGCTGGGAAAAAAAAATGCCTTCCTGATCCCCCGAGAGGCAATCGGATATTTCCTGGATCAACTTTACTTATAAATGTTAGTATCCAGTTATATTCTGTGCATCTAAGAAATAATCCAGGCCTTTTTTTTGAAGCAATCCACTGATGACCTGGCCAGAACCAACTCTTGAGGGAGTCTACTCCACATTTTCACAGATCTCACTGTGAAGAGACCTTTCCATGTTTGGAGATTAAATCTTTTCCTCCAGACCTAAAGAGTGCCCTCTTGTCCTCTGTGATGACCTCAGGGTGAATAGCTCTACATCGAGTTCGCTATATGAACCACTGATGTATTTATACTTGTTGATCATATCCCCCCTTAATCTCTTCAGTGTTTCATTTTTTTCTGAAAAGGTAAACTTACACTTTAATTTCTCTGAACCATATTTGGTGTTAATATTATACACTAAAAGGTTTTTCAACTGCCACACATGTACACTGTTCTGTTCAATGATGTGCCAAAAGGTTCTTAAAGTAGTATTAACCCAAAAGCAAACATTTATTAACAGCTTACCAATTCTTAGATGTGATGGCTGTATTCATTTTCTTTTTAATGCTTTCTTTCATCTGGTGATCTGGCCAGCAAATCTGTGGTCTCAAAAGCTGAAGCTCTCCAGCAGAATGCATCAGTTACAGGGATGAAACAGACCATTTAACACTGGAAGGGGTGGTTAAAATGATCAGCTTTTATTTACTGTATTCATATAAAACCTTTCCCCAAAAGGAAAAAAAAAAAAAAGTTTGTTGTAACCGATTATAAAGTGTGAGCTGGAGTTTGGCGTCAATTAGTTACTGGCCATAAATCTCCTAATACATTTCACACTCCCCCCCCCCCCCCCCCCCACAGATTGACAATGCTGCTCTCTGATGTGCCACTTGTCCTCATTCCTCCAGAGGAGTATCTCACCAATACTGGAGGTGTATTACTTGCCAGTTCACCAGGTGAAAACAGAGGGGGAAGCCAAAGAAAGGAAAACTGATACAGCCACCACATCTAATGATTGGCAAGCTGCAATACTACATTTTTTTGGGTGGAATACCACTTTAAACCCCTTCTATTTTTTATCTATACTTGACAGCTTAGTAGTCGATCACTTTCACTACTTTCTGATTTTTCACATCCCATTTATTTTTTGTGCGTAACAAACTTGTCTTTTTGGCCTGCAATTTAAGAAGTACTGATGAACACATTACAAAACTGGTTCCCAGGTTCTTGCCTGTAAGCATCCCATTCACTTACTAATCAACCGCCTCGAACTTACAACCACCTGCTTTGCACTTGATCTCTAAAAGGTCTTTGCACAGATTTCTCTTCATTAAAGGATTCATCTTTCACATAGTTTTCCACCCTTCAGCTAAAACCAAAACACCCTGAAAGCTCATACCCTTAGATAAGTATATTATTTTACCGAAAATATTTTCTGTATTTTCAGATTTAACTAGCCAGTGCTCATCTACAACAACCATTATTTTGATGAAAGTTTTAAACAGAAGAATACATGTTTCTTGATGGTAACACTATAAAAGAAACAAGGCACTACCTATTGCATGTTGCTCAGCAGAAACCTCAGGATGTATGTCGATTTCCAGGAAGTTCCCTTTGTCCTGCATAGCAGAAGATTCAGCCTGAAATTAACAAAGTCACTGCATCAACATTGCTAATGTCATGTGTAAAAGCTTACATGTGGGCCTCATGCACACTCTGCATATATTATTCCTCCCTTGGCTCATATCCTTATTTTTGATGACATCAATGAGTTTCTCTGCTTATCTGTGCAAATACAGGAAGATCATTGCTTGCAGGAGGAGCGGTGCATAGCTTCCTGAAAACAACAGACCGCCATAGATAAAGGCCATATCCACAGATACCGCCCAAAGCGCCTTCCATGATATCCTCCTCTCTAGCTCTCTCATCACCTCCTCCCACGCTCGCCTCCAGGACATCTCCAGAGCCTTACCCATCCTCTGGAACTCCCTACCACAGCATGTCCGGTCAGCACCCACCCTGTCTGCCTTTAGGCGATCTTTGAAAACTCACTTCTTCAGGGAAGCCTACCCCACCTCCACCTAAGAACTGTACTTGAATCACCTCCGCCAGATCACCCCCCCCCCCCGCAGCTATCACCTTTTGTATCACCACCCCCTTTCTTTAGATTGTAAGCTCCACAAGCAGGGCCCTCATATTCCTTCTGTACTGAAATGTATTGTAATTGTACTATCTCCCTTATATTGTAAAGCGCTGCGCAAACTGTTGGCGCTATATAAATCCTAATAATAACCAGAAAAGCTACAATTTCTGGGGAAATTGTGTGAAGTGTTCTTGCCTCCACCAGTAGTCTACAACTGGAGTGGGCAAAGTAGCTTTTGTCACTCTGCTGCCTGCTCACACACCCTGGGTTCATATGGCAACTCACTCTACAGCAAGGGCAGAGGAGCGGTTAAAAACAAACTGCTCCAACTTGTTCACTTCACTGGCGGTTGCCATCTTCAAACGGTGGTAGTTTTAAAATTATAAATCCTACACTGAAGAGCTTTATATTGTGAGAATCACAAGACCCAGACCTACATTTTGATGCATAGTATGTCAATGAAATATTAAAAATGAAGGCACAGTCACAGTTTAGAAATTGCCCTTCAACTTTCAGGTGTCTAGAGTGGAGTTTCTATGAATGTCAATGGGTGGCGTGAGTTGCAATAACAAACAAATGGTCATATTGTGAAAACTATCAAGACTGTAGCTTAGCCGGACATTTTTAGTGGCAGCAGGGATAGCTGAATGTTTTGATATAAGATTTGTGTAGGTGGGCTTGAAAATGAGGGAGTGATGGCAGTTTAGAAATCATGTCCTGATTTTTCAGCTCGCACTCTAGCTTTTGTCAGCTCCCACTCTAGTTTTGAACATTGCGCCATTCATTCCTATGGGACCAATTTCACCACAAAAACACCGATATTTCGTGAACCATTCGGCGAAACCTTCCACAAAGTAATAGCACACCAATCGGGAACAATCCGCACGGTTCGGTATATTATTGTCTATGTAGTGTAAAAACTGTGGGAGGAGTTAGGGTGGTAAATTTGGCTATAATAAGAATATATATGTGACATAACAGTAAGTGGTCTTGCCATGCAAGAAAACTTAATAATGCTAAGCCTCGATGATTTACTGAAGTCAAATGGGAAAGGGGAGGGCTAATGACAGTTTAGCTGGGAGGAAAGCGCTAAATGATGCTGGATGTTTTCAAGCCAGAAAATGAGACAGGCTCTGACTTGCTGCAAATGTTTACACATACTGTGAAGTTAAGTTTACAATGAAATCAGAGTATGCAATTTCAGTACAGGAGGGGAGTCTGTGCAATTGTGCAAGACTTAAAGTAAGGCTGGAGTTTTTAGCAGAACTGTAAGCAAAACTTAAAAAAAAAAAAAAAATAAAATGTTTGGATAGAGTAAGACGGTCATAACCCCTGTCAGTTTATTTTTTGCCATCTGTGTCCCATTGGGGAGAATTCCCTTCCCTTCCTGTATCACAGCCAAACAGGAAGTGAGAGGAAATCCCTGCAAATTAAGTGAAATCCTTGGGGATCCTCAGGTCACCAGAACTAGTGTCCCCATTGGAAGATTTCCCCTCACTTTTTCTGGGGACAACACAAAATTTGGGATTTTCTTTCACGGTCTCTTTTGATGCTGTGTACAAGACAAAGGCGGCATGTCTTCCTAATAGGGGCACAGACAACAACAACTGACAGGGGTTCTAATCCCTCTCCACGCTGTCAAAAAGTAAAAAAAAGTTTTGCCTTTAGTTGTACTTTTAGAACAATCTACTATAATAAAAGCACTGTGTGGTAGCTGCATATGAATATATGACAAGTATTCAAAATCCACTGCTGTGGAAGTACTATAGGTAAACCCTTAATACGACCGATGTGAATGTACAATATATATATGTGTAAAGCGCTGCGTAAATTGATGGCGCTATATAAGTACTTGAAATAAATAAATAATACCAATGAAAAAAAAAAATACAAACTACTTGAGGGAATGGTGCATGTGCAAGAAAGACATCTCTATTTACCAATTCTTGGAGATCCATCTTCGGAGTGGTGCTTGAAATATCCATTGGGGTAATCCTCTCCACAGTATCCAACATTACAGCTGAGTTTAAACTATAGTGTCCTCTAAAGTCCTGGCTCCCAGAACAAGAGATTTGCTCTGGCACCTGAATAAATTCAATAATGTTGACAGTATCTGTTTGTGGCAGGGAGTGATTCTGATTTTCAGTCGTCAGATTTCCCTGTTTCTTGATACCCCAATTTGATATTGGCTCATCTATGAAGTGCACATTTAGTATAGGCCACTTGTGGTTCACAGTATTGCTCAAGGAGGACTCCAGTGAACGTAGCTGGCTCTGCTCCTGAACATCAAGTCCCAGCATTATGACATGTGAAGGGGAACAGTGCGCTGACCTGCCTGCAGGTCCCTGAGAAGAAGAAATAAAAACAAAAATTAACATATGCAAGATCTAAATAAAAAAAAAAAAAAATCTGATTTTAAGACATGAAAAATTAACAGTAATTTTAAGAAGCCTTTCAAAAACTTGCTCCCAGGAACTAACAGGTCTTATTTTTCATGTGTGAAGGCAATGTCAGTGGTCCAAAAAACATTTTTAAGAAACATCTTCAAAGTAGAATTAAGAATAAAAAGAACAGGCCCTACAAAAGCACAAGATATGTATTCACCTGCCCTGCCACCCGTTCCTGGAAACTTAGCACTCTTGCAGAGCAAAACTGCCAGCAGACACTCAATTGTTTTTTTGTACAAATACTATACTAATTACACAAAAACTGTTCGTTCTGTTATCTTAGGAGAAATTTTTTTTTTATGCTTGTCCCTTCGGATGTTTCCGCATGAACTATTGTGATCAGATCTCAAAAGCTGTGTACTAGAAATCAGATTATCAGAGAATAGCTCAGAAAACGTGGGGTTTTTTTTCGTCCGATTATCTCAGCGCATGTACTAGGCATAAGAGTGTATAAGTAAAATAAACGTGGTTATGGTGCTGTGGCTGTACCTATGTATATACAATTCTATTTTACTTATATAATATTACCTGGTCATAGTGGTTATATAGGCACAGCTAAGCACCATAACCACTTCAGTTTCACCTATATACTCTTAGCTGATAAGAGTGGTTATATAAAGACAGGCAAGAGCACCGTCACAACTTCTGTCACCGTCACAACTTCTGTCCCATGTCTACACTATTAGTTGGTCATAGAGGATATGTAGGGTGTAGAAGTGTAGAAGTAGTGATGGTGCTCTAGTTGTTCCTATATACACAGTTCTATTTTCCATACACCCTCTTAGTAGATCTATAGACACCATCAGCACTTGTATAATACTTGCACACTCCTAGCTGCTCATAGAGGATATGTAGGGTGTAGAAGTATTATACAAGTGGTGATGGTGCTCTAGTTGTACCTGTATACACAGTTCTATTTTCCATACACCCTCTTAGTAGATCTATAGACACAGACAACACAGTTCACCATCAGCACTTGTATAATACTTGTACACTCCTAGCTGCTCATAGAGGATATGTAGGGTGTAGAAGTATTATAGAAGTGGTGATGGTGCTCTAGTTGTTCCTATATACACACAGTTCTATTTTCCATACACCCTCTTAGTAGATCTATAGACACCATCAGCACTTGTATAATACTTGTACACTCCTAGTTGCTCATAGAGGATATGTAGGGTGTAGAAGTATTATAGAAGTGGTGATGGTGCTCTAGTTGTTCCTATATACACACAGTTCTATTTTCCATACACCCTCTTAGTAGATCTATAGACACCATCAGCACTTGTATAATACTTGTACACTCCTAGCTGCTCATAGAGGATATGTAGGGTGTAGAAGTATTATAGAAGTGTGATGATGGTGCTCTAGTATTTTCCATACCTGAAGATATAGACACACAGTTCTATTTCCCATTCACCTAGTTGTTCCTCTTAGTAGATCTATAGGCACCATCACCATCAGCACTTGTATAATACTTGCACACTCCCTGCTGCTCATAGAGGATATGTAGGGTGTAGAAGTAGTGATGATGGTGCTGTGTCTATATGAAGGCAGACATTTGATTTGTCTCCTCTTAGCTGACCATAGAGCCTATAAGGAGAGGCAGAGCCCCGTCACATCCCACGCTGTATAATGCCTCCTAGCAGCTAGTAGTATAGAAGTATATAGAAGTGGTGGCTCCTATCTCTTTCTATTCGAGGTCTATAGTGCTCTATGAGCAGCCAAGTTTCCCCGAAGAAAAGTTGCCCGGTGTCGTCAGTCCGCAGCTGTCATCGCCCCCTGCGTCTCTCCTCCTCCTCCCCCCGGTGTGTGAGCTCTCCATACCCGGCTCTCACTCCTCCCATCCCGCGCCTCGCTCTCCCCAGCCTCTCACTAGCTCCGAAGCTCCATGACTCCGTCACTGTCTCCTCCCGACCGGGCACTCACCTCACTTCCTGCCACCCTCTCCGACGTCATCTCCGGCGGTACCGTCACGTGAGCTCTTCAAAGTGGTACCCGGGGCTTCCGCTGCTTTATTCCCGTGCCTGACCCTCCTCGGGTCACCGTGCGCTTGGCAATTGAATGGCAGGACCCTAATGGTAACAGCTGTGTGTCTTATGGGCCTCCCCACCCGTGCTCCTTCCTGACCCCAACCTGTGCCCCCTTTATGCGGTGACAGCTGTCGTTTCTTTACAGGTCAGAGAGCCCCTCAGGACCAGGTTGGAGCCACCATGAGAACCAACAAAGTGTACAAGCTGGTCATCCACAAGAAGGGCTTTGGGGGCAGTGGTGAGAACACACCTGACACCTATTCACTGGGGGGGGCATGCATTGCAATGACCTCATATACAGGGGCTGTAATCAGAGATCAGTCACCATGCAGGGCAAGATCTGTGAAAGCTAAAACCACAAGTAGGGCCAAAGCTTTCTTTGGTCACACTTCTGTGGGTCGCAGGAGTGTACTTATTTTGGCTCCCCTGTTATCCAGAATCAGCCAAGGGCAGGCTAAAACCTGTTGTCAGCTGAGGTCTCACAGAGCCTGGATGTATCTCAACCATATTGTCAGGATCCACCCATCGACAGCTACACTATATTGCCAAAAGTATTGGTCGGCCTGCCTTTACATACACATGAACTTCAATGGCATCCCAGTCTTAGTCCGTAGGGTTCAATATTGAGTTGGCCCACCCTTTGCAGCTATAACAGCTTCAACTCTTCTGGGAAGTCTGTCCACAAGGTTTAGGAGTGTGTCTATGGGAATGTTTGACCAATCTTCCAGAAGAGCATTTGTGAGGTCAGGCACTGATGTTGGATGAGAAGGCCTGGCTCACAGTCTCTGCTCTAATTTTTCCCAAAGGTGTTCTGTCGGGCTGAGGTCAGGACGCTGTGCAGTCCAATCAAGTTCCTCACCCCAAACTCGCTCATCCATGTCTTTATGAACCTTGCTTTGTGCACTGGTGCGCAGTCATGTTGGAACAGGAAGGGGCCATCTCCACAACTGTTCCCACAAAGTTGGGAGCATGAAATTGTCCAAAATGTCTTGGTATACTGACACCTTAAGAGTTCCCTTCACTGGAACTAAGGGGCCAAGCCCAACCCCCTGAAAAACAACCCCACACCATAATCCCCGCTCCACCAAACTTTACACTTGGCACAATGCAGTCAGGCAAGTACTGTTCTCCTGACAACCACCAAACCCAAACGTCCATAGGATTGCCAAATAGAGAAGCGTGATTTGTCATTCCAGAGAACATGTCTCCACTGCTCTAGAGTCCAGTGGCAGAGTGCTTTACACCACTGCACCTGACACTTTGCATTGTACTTGGTGATGTAAGGTTTGGATGCAGCTGCTTGGATATGGAAACCGATTCCATGAAGTTCTGTATGCACTATTGTGCTAATCTGAAGGCCAAAGGAAGTTTGGAGGTCTTTAGTTATTGACTCTGCAGACATCTGAATCCAATGATTTAGAGGTGTGTCCTAATACTTTTTTTCAATATAGTGTAACTCCAGCTCTCAGCACACAGCTGTCTGACACTATAGTGAGCAATGGAGGGGCTGTGTGGGGAGAGCGGTGGCTGACAATCACTGTTCTCTGCTCCAAGAAGACTGGGAACTTATTGTGCTGGGTTTCATGGCGGGCTATTGATTAAAGTGTTACTAAACTCAGGACCCTGCATTCACTCTATCTGGTCTCCCACAATACATGGAAATGCAATTGTTTTAGTAAATTTAAACTGCTAAATACCTTTTCTCATCAGCAGTTAGAGCAGTTTTGTGACTTCTATCAGTGTCCAGCAGAGCATTGGTTAAAGCTTGTAGGAGGAGTTTTCATTCTCTTCTATGAGGCTGACCCTCTGTCTGGACAGCGCTAATTGGTTCTGTGTTGATCACATGCACTCTTCCAGGAAAAAAAAAACTCTAGCAATACACACAAGGCTGTGTTCTATCACAATATATATCGGGGACAATAAAAGAAAGAGAGGATCAGAAAAGACAGGATCAAACACCCTTTTTACACAATGCAGAGTATTAACCCCTTAGGTTCCACAGTGAGTATAACAAGCATGCTTTACTGCATACACAGACTGATTTTACTGTTGTGGGTTTAGTAACACTATAAAGTTTAACTGCATTGCATCTGAGCACCACAAACCAAAACAGCTATTTAATTCATTGCTAATATTCGAAGCAAACTCTCCCCATCCATCCATCTTGTACCAAATTGTATTGTAATTATAATGTCTACCTTCATTTTGCAAAGCGCTGTGCAAACTGTTGGCGCTATATAAATCCTGTTTAAGAATAATAATAATGTCTTCATGCTTTGTTTTGCAGAGAAATCTCTTTGAAAAACACCCCCTAGAATTTCTGCCTGTGGCCATCTTCAATAAGGGCAGATGGTTCATGTAGCATTTACTTCCTGGAATCCATCTGCCTTTAGCTCAGGCATTGGCTGAGCTGAGAACTCTCTCTCCCCTCCTGAAGTCTGCTGTGATGTATTATGTCATTTGCCTAGGCCTGGAAACTGGGAAGTAACTGAAGAAGTGTTAAAAAAAAAAAAAAAATTAAAACAAGTAAATATGATACAGTGGATATAAAATGTCTACACACCCCTGTTAAAATGTCAGGTTTCTGTAATGTAAAAAAATGAGACAAAGATAAATCATTTCAGAACTTTTTTCACCTTTAATGTGATCTATAAACTGTAAAACTCAATTGAAAAACAAACTGAAATCTTTTAGGGGGGGAAACATAAAAAAAACTAAAACAATATGGTTGCATAAATGTGCACACCCTCTTATAGCTGGGGATGTAGCTGTCTTCAGAATTAAGCAATCACATTCAAAATCATGTTAAATAGGAGTCAGTTC